GTTCTTTAGTTGGGGAAAGGGGTAAAAGAAGACCACACTGTGGGTTCTTATTTAGTCATGGGCCTTTGAGGATTGCAAGGCATCATGGCAGAGATATAGTACTAGCACCAGTGTTGTTCTTTTTTTGTTTTGTTACTCAAAATAGCTGCATGAAGGCATGTTTTTTTTTAAGGATTAAAAAGTAAGATTTCATTGAAAGCTGCCATTTTTGCTCAGGCTTTGGACAGAATAGGGGCATTGCCCATCCTGAAAGCATTAACCAGGCTTATTCAAATAATTGCACAACAATCAACCCTTAATGGGTGTGTAACTTAAGAAAGAACCAGGGGCATTACCATTATCTTATATTGCTTGTAGTAATCATTTAGATAGTGGGACTCCAGTGGCAGGAAGTACGTTAGTAATCTGGTGATAATTTGTGCTGTAATTCTGAAGCTTGACAAAAATGTACCTGGGTTACCTGTCCTGCAACTATTGTTTTACAATATTTAAAGTGGGAAATAATGCAGTCTCTTTGTGTACTGCGTCAACACAGCCAATCTTTATGATGATTTATGTCAGCTATCATACACCTCTAAGTCCCTGAAGGAACAAAAACAGATGCTTCGATTAATTTCAAAACTTTTCCTTTGCTACCCTTATCATAAATGTGCTTTTCAGAGATGCTGGGGGAAGGGAGGTGAGATCAAAGGTTGTAGCTATTCGAGAGACGAATTCCTGGCTGTAGGCTTTTGTTTTTTGTTTTTAAATAGCAAACTTAAGAGAGATGCCCATCTAGAGCTTGTTAGAGAACAGGCCTGCCAACACTTTTCCAAGTTCCAATCATTATCTTCTTTGTCACTTCAGATTGTCAGCTGCTTCACTGCATAATCAGAAATAAGAAGCCAGAGAGATGATCCTGCTTGATATGTAACAGAGGCCTCTTACAGATAATTGGAATATTTGCTTTTCATATGGTCAAGGGTGTTCTAAGAATGCATGTATCCCTCAACAAGTTAATCCCATTCTGCACATCACACATCCCAATAAAAAATAAACCCAGCTAGTTTTTGAAATGTACATCTATCTTTCTTCTAAACTGTTATTTTAATTCAAACATCTGAAAACTGTTCTTATGTGTGAATAACTGGGATTATTCAATAATAATCATACAGTTATCAGCACAACCAGTGATTCTTGAGTCTTTTTTTCCAGAAGCATTCAAGACTGAATCAAACTGGATAGTTTAATTTGTCAGTTACATCTCCCCGCTCTCCAATTCATTTACAATCTCTATAGTGTTTTCCATTCTACTTTGGAAAAAAAATGCATACCGATTCCTAACAAATTTCATACCCATTTATACAGCAATCATGCTATAAAATCCAGCTCAGAAACTACTTTACTGAATTGTATTGGGAGGTTCATAATTGTCTTTGTGCTCTTATTCCAATGCTATTATCTATTTCATATGCTGGCAGAGTAACATTCTGCTGTTAACTATTCCTTGGCCTGATGAATATTTCTATTCTTTTTATGGAAAAGAGAAGGAGACAAACAAAGAAAATAGATATCAAATGTATAAAAGAGAACAGTTTCATCAACAGATCATTAAAAAATGTTTTTGTTACTAAGGATCAGTGGTGATCCTTCTTGTTTATGTCCTTTTTTAATACAGCAAAATATCTCTTATTCCCCATACCAACATGCCACATGAGAATTCTTCTTTGTCTATAAACATTTCCACTGACTGCTATCCTGCCTTCTATAATGCTACGGCAGACCTGTTGAACTGCTTCTTCCCCAGATGCTGGTGAGTTAAAGCAACACTCCACACATAATTCCAGCAGTTTCTTAAGACCAAAGCAATCTTCCTATGCCTCCCATTAAGATCCACAACTGTTAATTTAATTTCATTAAGAGATTGGATCTTTCACCCAGTCCCAAATGTTTTTTTTTTTTAAATTTCCTCACTTCCTTATTTTTAGGGTCTGGGAAAACATGCCATGGAGTTATAAGTTTTTCATTCTTTATTTTCAAGCTTTGTAGAGACTAATTCAAGAAAGGACCCAGGCACATGCCTAGCATGTGTTTCAAAATAAATTAAAGCTACTAAAAGATTAGAAAGCATTTCAGGGTTTGGCCAAATGAAAGTAAGTGGTTTCTTGTTAACTTACTTTTTGATTTAGTGACAGGAATAGTCTTTGGAAGGCAACAATAAGGTTCTCTCATCTCTGAAACAAAGCGCTACTGTTTATTTCACAACATTTTTACAAAATTTATTTTTGCAAGTGTAATAAAATGATTGGTACGGTTTCAGTCATTTGGCTTTGTAGCACAGAACTGGGAAACTTCATGGAAATCTTCAGAATCTTCAATCTCTGTTTCTATATTCCTGGCATTTCTTTTCCTTCAGAAGTAGTTTATCGTCGTCTCCTTCGTAAGGTTGAGAGTAATAGCACCCAGCAGGCTTTGTGTCCAAGAACTCACAGCCTCCATTTCTAGCCTGATGCCTTAATCACTACACCAGACTGGCTCTTTATTTCACATTCATACCATGGTGACTTATAACCACAATGGACCCCAAAATTTATGTTGTTAAATGAGTTTTGCCCCATTTTACGACCTTTCTCAACACAATTAAGTGAATCACTGCAGTTATTAAGTTGGTAACATGGTTGTTAAATGAATCTGGCTTCCCCATTGACTTTGCTTGTCAGAAGGTTGCAAAAAAGTGATCAAATGATCCTGCAACCATCACAAATATGAGTCAGTTGCCAAGCATCTGAATTTTGATCATGTGACCATTCAATGGTCGTAAATGTGCAAAACTGTCATGTCCCTTTTTTCAGTGCTGTTGTAACTTCAAATGATCACTAAATGAACTGTTGTAAATTGAAGACTACCTGTGTTACAGAAAATATTTAAGAAGTAGACTTTTAAAGAATGAGGATATCTCCATCCCTCAAATATACCTTATCTAAACCTTATCTAGAATCTTTTTTCTCTATATAAAGTTGATGCTCTATGAAGAAGTCAGTGCCGTGTTCATTGGTTTCAGTACATCTTCCCCCTCTCCCACGCAGTGCACATGTTGGATCCGGTTCTGTCAATAGGAAGCCTGCTAGTTCTATGTACAGGTAGATGCTAAGTTACAATAGCAATTGGGATCAGGATTGTCATTGCTAATGTTGAGGTAATGAAGACTTAATAGCTGAACATCTGTAAGCCAAGATGATGAACTGAGGCTGAGTCAGCAGGGTACTGTCGCTTTAAGAAGCTGTCTATATAAGCCAGGCCATGTGAGGGTGTCTCACTCTCCTTGTGTTCTATTTCCATTGTAGTTCTCTGTGCAGAGTAATGAAGAATTATTGCTTGCCTAATATGTGCCTAACATGTATATTTATGTATATAGCAGTCTTGTATATTAACCACTGTTAAAAGACAATGCCTCTGTGTGCTGTGTTGTGCTCCTGGGTTGTCTCACAATAGTAGTCATGCTGCAAACACTCTGACAGCTAAGCAATGTGGTCATAAAGTGCCAAGTCACTGTGACTGCATCACCTAGCAATGGCAATCCAGGCAGTCCCAGTTGTCATCATAATCCCAAGACATGCAGGTTGCTAAGTGAGAAGCAAAGGGAGTCCAGGTAAAAAGAAGGGAGATGCTGCAGGAAAGTGGGGGAGACCCCGGGGTAGGGCATGTGCAAGTTGCATGTGTGTGTATGTGTGTGTGTGTGTGTGTAAGTGAGTGAGTGTTACAGTATGGCACAAATTCAGGGAGGCCAAAAAAAAGAGGGTGCAGAGTGTACATATGCAAACACAGGTTGGCTAGAGAAAGAGGGGGCAGGATACCCCCAAGGGTGCGTATGAGTGCAGGGAGGCTGGGGAAAGAGGGCATGGGATGTGTGTATGTGTGTGTGCATATATATGAGCACAGGGGGCAGGCAAAGGAAGGAGGATGCTGGTGGGTGGAAATGATGGAAGGGGGAAGGAGGACACAAGTGGAGGCAAGCAAAGAAAGGGAGCAGGGAAGACTTGAGTGGCTTATGACCTTTCCTGCTGGGTTCTTCATTGGCTTTGCTTATGGCTAGCTGGCAGAGAAGTTTGGCAACAGTGAACATGTGATCATGAGATAGCAATAGCCCTCAGCACTTAGACTTATATACCATTTCACAGTGCTTTACAGTCCTCTCTAAGAAGTTTACCGAATCAGCATATTGCCTCCAACAATCTGGATCATCATTTTACCAACTTTGTAAGGATGGGAGGCTGAGTCAACCTTGAGCTAGCAGGATCGAACTGCTGGCAGTTGGCAGAATTAGCCTGCATTACTACATTCTAACCACTGCGCCCCTTGCTTCTGTTACTGGTCATGTGAGCTCATTGATAGGCACCCAAATTTTGTTCACATGACCCCAGGAGTGCTTCAACAACAAGAATTTCAAGGACTACTTGTAAGTTTCTTCATTCAGTGCCATTGTAACATTGAACAGATGCTGAACAAATGTTGAAACTTGAGGACTTGTGGATTATCTTTATGAGCAGGAACCTTGATTGCATCAAGAGTCTGGTCAGAGGAATGGGCCAGCATGTATGCTCTTGAATTTCCTTCATCTTGTTTTAAATTACATACACAGAAGAGTGTTCTAATATGGCTTTAGTCTTACATTCAGTGTAAGTATAAAATCTTTGGAAGATATATAGCCAATTATAAACCCTGATTGCTCTACCAATACAAATTTAACATTTTAGTGTCTAAGTTTGATGACCAAAATTATTGCCTTTGTATGCAGTCATTTCTTTCTTTTTTAATGTAAGAAGACTATAAAACTCTACAAAACTGTAAAGCATTTCTCTAGAAATTAAGCACATTTGCTATAGAATAGATAGAATTATGCTGTAAAGAATTGAATGTATAGTTTCTACGAGTACAGGGAATCTTTGATTTATAACAGTTTGCTTAGTAATCATTCCAAGTCACAACGGCACTGAAAAAAGTGACTTATGACCATTTTTCACACATAACCTTTTCAGCAAATGAAACAATCAGAATGTTAAAAAGTTATGATATTTATGTAATCACATCTAAATTATATTAAAGTAACCAAAATATCTTTACGATCCTCAAGGTATGTCACAACTTTTGAGCACTGAGAAAATTGAGAAAATTGAAAGTGGAAAAATTTGACACACCCTAAGCAGCATCCCCATGACCACGTGATCAAAATCCAGGCACTTGGCAACTGGTTCATACTTATGACCATTGCTATGTCCCAGGTCATGTGATCACTTTTGCAATCTTCTGACAAGCAAAGTCAATGGGGAAGCCAGATTCACTTAACAACTGAGTTACTAATTTATCAACTGCAGTGATTCATTTAATAATTGTGCAAGAAAGATGGTAAAATAGGGCAAAACTCAACAAAAGTCTCACTTAACAACAGAAATGTTGGGCTCAGTTGTGGTTATAAATTGAGATCTACCCATGTAAGTTTTTTTATGTTTACTTACTAAATACTACAGTCTTTTGAAGTGAGGGAGATACAAACTACCATTAGTGTTAACACATGAACTTTGGATTGATCTTATAGAATCATTTTTTGTTCATCATACGTAGGTACCCAATAAAATCACTCTCATTTTCCCTGTCTTTTCAGGAACTGTTCCTTTGGTTATTTTATATCACTTGAGATATTTTTAATTAGAAAATGACTCATAATAAATATTTGATAAGAAATAAATAACCAGTATGTCATCTTTAATTACTCAGTGCTTGTGTTCTCATTTTTGTTCAGCCTCTAGGAAATGCAATTAACAATTGCTGCCAGGTATACATAGCTATATTTATCAGAGTAAAGCCTATTTTAATTAGCACACAGTTTAGTGTTATGCCTCTGGCCAACCATCCTAACAGTAGCTGTGAATATTGCACTTGGACTTGGGAGGCTGAGGTTTATATAACTGTTTTCTTATGAAGATACGCCTTGAGCAAATCATAATTTCTCAGTGTTGCTGAGTTCAGAGGTCACTGTGATGCCAATATGTCATGCCCAATGACTTAGAAAGGACAAGATGCAATTAGAATATAGAAACAAAAGCTATGAAATTGAATTTTGTGACTTATTGGCACCAAATATTGGGAGTAAATAAGCAAAGCTCATGCAGTGTGCACAGTGAACCCACAATACCAGAGAACTATAGAGCAATATAAAAATAAAATCTGGGAGATGTGCATTTTTAAAAAGAACCACAGATCTTTATAAAATATAATGTGAAGTATGAAAGTAATAATACACTGCTCAAAATAAATAAATAAAGGGAACACAAAAATAAGACATCCTAGATCAGAATGAATGAAATATTCTTATTAAATACTTTATTGATTACATAGTTGAATGTGCTGACAACAAAATCACACAAAAATTATCAATGGAAATCAAATTTAGCAACCCATGGAGGTCTGGATTTGGAGTTACACTCAAAATGAAAGTGGAAAAAAACACTACAGGCCGATCCAACTTTGATGTAATGTCCTTAAAACAAGTCAAAATGAGGCTCAGTAGTGTGTCCTCCACGTGCCTGTATGACCTCCCTACAACATGGGCATGCTCCTGATGAGTGGCAGATGGCCTCTTGAGGGATCTCCTCCCACACTTGGACTAAAGCATCCCCCAACTCCTGGACAGTCTGTGGTGTAAAGTGGCGTTGGTGGATGGAGCGAGACATGGTGTCCCGGATGTGCTCAATTGGATTCAGGTCTGGGGAACGGGCGGGCCAGTCCATAGCATCAATGTCTTTGTCTTGCAGGAACTGCTGACACACTCCAGCCACATAAGCTCTAGCATTGTTGTGCATCAGGAGGAACCCAGGGCCAACCGCACCAGCATATGGTCTCACAGGGGGTCTGAGGATCTCATCTCAGTACCTAATGGCAGTCAGGCTACCTCTGGCGAGCACATGGAGGGCTGTGCAGCCCCCTAAAGAAATGCCACCCTACACTATTACTGACCCACTGCCAAACCGGTCATGCTGGAGGATGTTGCAGGCAGCAGAACGTTCTCCACGGCGTGTCCAGATCTCTCACGCCTGTCACATGTGCTCAGTGTCAACCTGCTTTCATCTGTGAAGAGCACAGGGTGCCAGTGGCGAATTTGCCAATCTTGGTGTTCTCTGGCAAATGCCAAATGTCTGCACAGTGTTGGGCTGTAAGCACAACCCCCACCTGTGGACATCGGGCCCTCATACCACCCTCATGGAGTCTGTTTCTGACCATTTGAGCCGCCACATGCACATTTGTGGCCCACTGGAGGTCATTTTGCAGGGCTCTGGCAGTGCTCCTCCTGTCCCTCCTTGCACAAAGGCGGAGGTAGAGGTCCTGATGCTGGGCTGTTATCCTCCTACGGCCTCCTCCACGTCTCCTGATGTACTGGCCTGTCTCCTAGTACCTCCTCCATGCTCTGGAGACTACGCTGACAGACACAGCAAACCTTGCCACAGCTCACATTGATGTGCCATCCTGGATGAGCTGCACTACCTGAGCCACTTGTGTGGGTTGTAGACTCTGTCTCATGCTACCACTAGAGTGAAAGCACCGCCAGCATTCAAAAGTGACCAAACCATCATTCAGAAAGCATAGGAACTGAGAAGTGGTCTGTGGTCCCCACCTGAAGAACCACTCCTTTATTGGGGATGTCTTGCAAACTGCCTATGCTTTCTACCTGTTGTCTATTCCATTTGCACAACAGCATGTGAAATTGATTGTCAATCAGTGTTGCTACCTAAGTGGACAGTTTGATTTCACAGAAGTGTGATTGACTTGGAGTTACATTGTGTTGTTTAAGTGTTCCCTTTATTTTTTTTAAGCAGTGTATATTCCATTATACCTTGGCTTGGTTTATGTTCACTTTTCTCTAAATGGATTCTGTGGAAAAGTTTATATAGTTGCAACACCCTTTCTTCCTGCTATTTTATATACAGAAAAACTGACAGCAAAACTTGAAATTGTCAGGCAATTTCCTGTTTTGCTGGTTTTACTCTTAAAATGTTTGCTTTTCAACTGAATGCTTCATTTGCTTTCCAGCCATCTATTTACTTGGAGAAAAGTTGATTGTACAGCAAATAAAAATCTATGGTTTTATTATTTTAGATTAGGAAGAGTGTGTAATTAAATTAAATAAACCAACAGTACCTTTTGGGACACATGTGGAATGTCTATACTTGGGTATACTTTTTTCTTCCCTGAGTTGCCAAATTCCTCACAGCAGAGACAGGAGGGGTATTTTCTTTATATGTTCTCCTCCCTCGCTTTAGACTTAATCTTCCATTTCATTTCTCCTTGCTATGAGCAATTAGGCATTCCTCTAGAGCTGTATTTTAATATTTTTTTAAAAGGAGAGTTCATCCTAAGGGAAGAGTTCATTACACTTAAATGAGATAAAAACTCTTTACTCAAGATACACATTGATTTATTTTTACATGAATATAAAAAATAAAGGATGCACCTTACTCATTAAAGACAAAATAAGAGATTGGTTAACTGCATTTCACTGATCTCAACTAGAAATGGTACCAAAATTATATTTTGGAACTATCATGGTTGGTATATCATGATGATATCAAGCAGGGGTAAGTTGCTGCTGGTTTGCCCCAGTTTGGTTGAACTGGTTCTTAATTTTATGGCTGGTGCAGTGAACTGGCAAATCCCACCCCTGGCTGGCCCTGCCCACCCTCCCCTCCCCTTTCAGGAGTCCCCATGTGTCCCATTTTGGATTCCAAGTAAGTGCAGGGCCTGCACAGAGGCTCAGGGAAAGTGAAAAATAGGACTCCTAGAGTCTCCGGAGCCCAGGGAGGTCATTTTCGCCCTCCCAGAGGCTCAAAGAAAGCCTCCAGAGTTCGGGGAGGGTGAAAACATCCCCTGCCACTATGGTGCAGGAGGCTGACGAGGCCACACCCACCATGTCCACGCCCACCCAGCAACTGGGCAGAGAACCAGTTAATTTTTTTGAAGCCCACCCCTGATATCAAGGAAGTATTTAAAGTATTGAAGTATTGAAATTTATTGTAAGAAATTATACAGTATGTGGAAAAGTTTGACTGATTAGAAAATAAACATGGGATAAGAATGTTTATTTGAAGTTTGAATAGAATAGATATTTGAATAGTTGGAATAAAGATATCCTTGACTTGTGACCACAGTTGAGCCCAAAAATGTATACTACTAAAGGAAACATTTGTTAATTGAATTTTGTCCCATTTTACGACCTTTGTTGTCATAGCTGTTAAGTGGATAATTGCAGTTTTTAAGTTGCTAACATAGTTGTTAAGTGAATCTAGCTTCCCCTTTGATTTTGCTTGTCAAAAAGTTGCCAAAAGTGATCACATGACCTCAAGACACTGCAACCATCATATATATGAACCAGTTGCCAATCATTCAAATGTTGACCAAGGGCATGCTGCAATGGTAAGTGTGAAAAACTGTCATAAATTAAATGAACTGTTGTAAATCAGGAACTATTTCTGGTAATACACTTCTGCTGAATGATGTTTTTTTACAACTTAATTATTAATTGGGAATGGGATATGGAAAGAAGTTTTTTTAATTGAAGTACTAGAGAAGATGTTAAGTTACTGAAGTTTGTAAATGTTTGTTCGGGGGTATCATCTTTTACATAATGTTTTCTTATTTTTTTCTATCTTTCTGCACTTCTCTTTTTCTTTTATATTTGTTTTAAATTGTATTACTCTTCATGCTTGTAAGCCCTAATAAAATTACCATAATAAAGAACATTTGAAAGAAATATAAGAATATTTGATATTATTAATTTTCCTTTATTACTGTGAACCATTATTTTATAAAAAAAGTAATGCCATTTGCCAAAAGTAATGCTCTTCCACAAGAGCACAAAACAAGCTCACCATGTTTCTAAAACATAATTTATTTTCATTCAGAACAAATATATTATGCTTGGCCTGAAATATTGTAAGTAACTGCCTTGAACAAATAATGCCTTAAAAATTAGGCCAGGCAATCTACTACATAGCACCACTGAAAAATTAAATAGATGTATTTTATACACAGATCTATTTTAACATTTTGGCTGATTAGTTCACAAAATAATTTAGAAGCTGAGATGCAAAACTAGCATCCAATTGGGTACAAGATTTGAGGTCAACTGGCAGTGATTTCAGAGAAAGAGTCATAGGAGACACACTAGCATAAATATTATTTTAAGGAATCTCACTGGCGCTTTCGTGAGTCCATTTGAATTCTAAGCCATGTGCAGCTGCAACACATTTTACTAAGGATACGTTATGTTTAGCAACACCACTGCATTTTTTTTCTTAATTCATACTGTGAAGCTTTCCCTAGCTGGTCTGTGCAATTTTCAGGATTTCTTTTCAGGGTTTAACACAATAATATTATCTGATGGTGCCAGCATCAAGCTGATGATTCATATCATAAAACTTCAATTCCTCGCAAACATTTTTTTCCAGGATAGTGTAGAGATCATTTACTTAGTTATGAAGTCAGAGATAAATACCAGGTACTCATGAATTACCCCACTTTGAACTGTGATCCTGTCCAATTGGGGGCAAAAGTAAATCATTATCCAAATTCAGTAACAGACCCCTCCCAGAGTATGGCTACCCTGACATGATGTAAGAGCTCAACGGTTTCCATGAATTTGAGATTGATGTTGACATGAACTTTTGATAAGCTCATGCCAGCCTGAATGAAAGAGGAAGGAGATAATGCATAGTGGACAACAAGGATAAGTTGGGCTCCTTGGACATGAGAAAAATCAACCCACCTAGGAAAAGAATCCAAATCCAAGAAGACGACAGCAAACTATTATGGGATTGTCAAGAAATCTGTATAGACTTGGCTAAAATATTTGGACTGAGTTTGGATGCCAGGTGATGAAGATCAAAAGAACCGATCTGATTTCCAGGAAAAACTTTGAACTTTAGAAGTAGATACAAAGCTGTAAGCTAATCCGCACAGTGATGGTGTTATTGCAAATGTCAGGTCTTAATTTTGAATTGAGAAATTCTAGGTTAATTGGGGATTTATCTGAATAAAAGAGCAGGAATGAAGAGAACATTTAATACATGGTCTGGATTCTTCTCCACTACCATTCCAGTGTCAGCCAAAGCACCAGTAAGACATTGGTACCAGTAAAACACATTCCATCATCAATGGATACCATGAGGTAAGCGATAAGATATATCCAAATTGCTTCTTCAAAAAAGGCAACAGTTTAACAAGGCCCAAGATCGTTGAAAGCCAATCAGATATAAGTTCTGTACAATTATTCCAACCTTCAGATAAAACAAATGCTCCATTTTGCCTACTGTTTCCTGCAGTATATTTTCCTGTGGTTTTTTTATGTGTGTGTGGAAGACTTACAATTTACATCCCCAATTATGGCACAAACATGCCCTGATAATGATTTTTATGGCATGTTACCTTAACCCTAGCCTGAAAAGAAGCTAAGTGAATCTACCAATTATTGTCCTTAACTTGTTCCAATGAACAAGGAAAAAGAAAGGAATGTTATTCGCTGGCCTACTGAGATACAAGAGGGACTGGTGATTATGGCTCACTAGTCACTACCAATTCAGAAGTGTCTTACTGGTACTTTGGTTGACACTGGAATGGTAGTGGAGAAGAATCCAGATCATGTATTAATTTGTGCCTTTTATAAATAATCAACAAACTAATGACAACAATTCCTATTATTTTCCTACACAGATACAAACATATCCAAACCTAACTGAGGGTCAGGAGTCAATGTCAATAAAGGAGAAAAATCCCAGCTTAAGGATTCAGAACACAAAATACACTTTATTAATCTTTATGTTCTGTTAACCAAGGCAACCAGAAGCTGGGAAAAGGAAAACTTGACAGAGTATCTGACAGAAACCACTTTGCAAAAACAACTATAAGATGAGAAGGAGGAGGAAGATGACAAAAATATTTTCAGTTGTGGAGAGTTTCCTGCCTATTTTGAGAGTTTCATTCCGCAACAGCTCTCCACTTTTTACTCTTTCAAATTAGCATAAAACTGTTTGGGGTGGGGTGGGAATACATATGATTGCCATGAAAAGTGCTTTAATTAAGTTACATATTTGGTATAATCCTTTCTTCTGATTTTAAGTTTAAATTCTATAAAATTCCATTCTGTTCCATTCCATTCCATTCCGTTCATTTGTTTTGACCCTTTTTCTTGGCACTTGTTCCTTTTTTGCCCACCAAAAAGGTTAGGCTGACTGTAATCACAAAGATATATTTGAATGCATTTTAGATGATAGCATGTGCAATATTCATGTAACTGAATTGTTGATTAGTATTTTGTGTATTTATTTACCAAAGGACAAAGTCTTTTCAGACATGAGTGATGGGTGTAAGAAGAATAAGACCCCTTTTCTTTAGTCCTCTTGAAATATGACACTGAAAAGGACATATTTCTTCATTTAATCTTAAATCAGTCTCTCTGACCCTAAATCTTTCAGACATATTGACTACAACTTCCAGAGTTCGCAGTATGAACAAAGATGGAGGTATATGAAAATTGAAGTAAAAAAATCTGGAGGGTGCTAGGTTGTTGCGGTCAGCTGTGAAGTTGGGTCTGACCCATTGCAACCCCATGGACAACATTCCTCAAGGCCTTCCTGTCCTCTACCACCCCCCAGAATCCATTTAAACTCATGCCAACTGCTTCAGTGACTCCATCCAGCCACCGTATTCTCTGTCGTCCCATTCTTCTTTTACCCTCAATCATTCCCAGCATTAGGCTCTTCTCCAGTGAGTCTTTCCTTTTCATTAGGTGGCCAAAGTATTTGAGTTTCATCTACAGGATCTGGCCTTCTAAAGAGCAGTCAGGGTTGATCTCCTCTAGGACTGACCGGTTTGATTGCCTTGCAGTCCAAGGGACTTGCAGGAGTCTTCTCCAGCACCATAGCTCAAAGGCCTCCGTTCTTTGAGGCTCAGCCTTCTTTATGGTCTAACTTTTACAGCCATACAGTGCAACTGGGAAAACCATAGCCTTGACTATACGCACTTTTGTTGGCAGGGTGATGTCTCTGCTTTTTAGTATGCTGTCTATATTTGCCATAGCATTCCTCCCCAGGAGCAAGCATCTTTTAATTTCTTGGCTGTAGTCCCCATCTGCAGTGATCTTGGAGCCCAGGAAAATAAAATCTGTCATTACCTCCATTTCTTCCCCATCTATTTGCCAGGAATTGAGAGGGCTGGATGCCATGATCTTAGTTTTCTTAATGTTGAGTTTCAAGCCAACTTTGTACTCTCCTCCTTCACCCGCATCAAGAGGCTCTTTAGTTCCTCTTCACTTTCTGCCATTAGAGTGGTATCATCTGCATATCTGAGGTTGTTGATATTTCTCCCAGCAATCTTAATTCCAGCATGTAATTCATCTAGTCCCACCTTTCTCATGATGTGCTCTGCATATAGTTAAATAGGTGCTAGGTTAAGGACTGCTTTATGTTTAAGGCATGTTTATGATTAAAAAATGAAATGAAGGATCCTTGGTTTGCTTTTTACCCATTTCCAGCACAACATATGAGTGACTTGCAATAAATACTGTATAATGTACCCTTGTAGCTAAACATTTGAAATAATATTTGAAAACAAAACTGTGGGATCTGGAATCATAAGCTTCCATAAACAGTATTGAAATAAGGAACATTAACTTCAGTATTGGATCTAATTCCATAGGGCTTTACGAAGAGAAGTTTAAATATGGCAGTTTTTGGAACCTGTGCATTCTTTAACTTATGTAATCAAGACACTTTTTAAAAAGCTTAAACATTTATGTCTCTGATGATAATCCAAAGCTGTAAAACAATTCTGAGCATGAATATAAATTTCTTTTATTAGATGGGTGGAGGTGGGAAGGGAGGGGTAGATTCTCATTAACAGAAATATATATATACATATTTTAGACTTCTATGATTGTTTGTACAAAGACTTCCAAGTGCAGCCTATATCACCATTTAAGTGTTGGCTTCTCTTTCCTTTAAGGGGGCAAAAGAGCATAAATAATGGATGAAAAGGAACATTTTTCTGAGTAGACATTCTAGTCAAGATTAGTACATCTCAGGACAAACACAGAATTGAACAGAGATTGAGCTGTCTAGTGCCTTTTTATCATCTGGACATTCTACCAATCCTTTGCTGCAATTCAAAAAGCACAGTTTGTTCATGAAAAATGTTTGCAAATTTCATGCTTTTATTCTAAAGAGATGAAAGAAATGTGCCCCAGTTTTAATATGATATACGAATTCTTTTGGGGGTTACTGTATTTGAGTCATCAAAGAAAAAAGCATGAAATTTGAAAAGCATGAAACATCATTAATGAAAACAGCTCATCATGGAACAGTAATGTGATTTCTTCTTGAGCTTGACCAAATTGTGCTGGCCTAACAGGAAAATTACCTGTGATGTGCTTTTCTTTCTTAGATTTATATCTCATTTATTTTAACAAGTTAAGGCAGATACATTCCTCTTCTATTTGACATGCTTAAGCTGAAGAGAATGACTTTCTCAAAATCAACCAACCATCTCCGGTGTCTAAGTGAGACTAGAATTCACAATCTCCCACTTTGTAGGCCAGTACCAACTTAACCACTACACAGAATTGACTTAGAGTAATATGAAGGGTAAATACATTTC